CAATTTGATCTGTGGTTCCTCTGCCTTTTCTAAATCCAGCTTGAACACCTGGAAGTTCTTGCTGTCATCAGTTAGAGCCAGACGTCCTGGAGTGCAAAGTCAAGTGGGCCTTAGGAAGCATCACTACAAACAAAGCTAGTGGAATGATGGAATTCCAGTTGAGCTATTTCTAATCCTAAAAGATGATGCTGTTAAAGTGCTGCACTCGATATGCCAGCAAATTTGGAAAACTCGGCAGTGGCCACAAGACTGGCAAAGGTCAGTTTTCATTTCAATCCCAAAGAAAAGCAGTACCAAAGAATGTTCAAACTATTGTGCAATCGCACTCATTTTACATGCTAGCTAAGTAATGCTCAAAATTCTCCGAGCCAGGCTTCAACAGTACGTGAGCCAAGAACTTAATTCTTTTACCATTAATCATGAATAAATGGTGAGTGTTAGAAATGCAGCACATACAAGGGAAATACAGGAACAATAACGTTCATCTTAATCACTCTTCCTTTTGTAAACTACATGCAAATGTGGAATCATATTTCCCACATAAGTTCATGACTATGTTTCTCTAGGCTGAAAACATAGATCTAGAAAACCTAACGTTCGGGAAGGTTATGGAATGTGACACGCAAGGGGGTGGAATTCTGATGTCCTCCAGTGCTCCATGCCTGATTCATCCGTGACTCTTCTACCTGTTGACTTTTGTGTGACAACAGTTACAGGAAGTTTCGTGAACGAAGCGGCACTCGTATTGGGCTTATAGGTCTTACACCAAGCTCTAAAGTCTTCCAGAAATAAGCATTTTTTTTAAAAACAGAAGTGGTTGTTTTAAAACATACCAGCTCAGACTGACTTCTTACTGGTCCTCCCTGCTAACTGCAATAAACCCGGGAAAAAGCAAGCAGCCCCAGAAGAACTCTGACAAGCGGAAGAAGGAAGAGAGACTGTCTCAGCACCCGTGGAAGGGGGGAACTGCAGACAGGCAGGGCAGTCTGAGTCCTCACACGCAGCCGAGGAGGGCACCTCGGGGCCCGCTGCTGCCAGCCCAACCCAGCAACGCAGCTGGGGGCAGGGACACGTTTCCCACCTCTTTCAAACCGTGTCTCCCTGACAACGTCAGGTGGAGCCAGCACCACGACCCTGCAAACAGTAGGTGCCAGGGGAGGCACTCTTATCCAATGAGACTGATACGCCGCGCCCCTCCACAAGAGACAAGGGTGGCTGGGGGAGGGGGGCTTTCCAGCAGAGGGTTCATAATGAAAAGCCCCCAGCCCTGGAAGTCTGCCATCTCCATAGGGATTCTCCTACCCCACCCAGAGACGCGGGCAGCTTGGCCCAAGGGAATACCTGCTATCCCTCCCGGGGCACCGGAAAGAAACCAGCAAGAACCCCAGGGACCCAGGTAAACCAAGCATACCAAAATAATGCCTTGAAGGATCTGAAAACTAAACCATTACTGGGCCCACGTCCCACTCAAGTAGACCAGAACCCAGATGCTAAAGCTGAACAGGGCACTGCTGCTGCTGCTGCTAAGTCGCGTCAATCGTGGCCGACCCTGTGCGACCCCATGGACCGCAGCCCACCAGGTTCCCTGTCCCTGGGAGTCTCCAGGCAAGAACACTGGAGGGGGTTGCCATTGCCTTCTCCAATGAGTGAAAGGGAAATCATTCAGTCGTGGCCGACTCTGTGCGACCCCATGGACCACAGCCTACCAGGCTCCCCGTCCCTGGGATTCTCCAGGCAAGAACACTGGAGTGGGNTGCTAAAGCTGAACAGGGCACTGCTGCTGCTGCTGCGGCTGCTAAGTCGCGTCAATCGTGTCCGACTCTGTGCGACCCCATGGACTGCAGCCTACCAGGCTCCTCCGTCCATGGGGTTTTCCAGGCAAGAGTACTGGGGTGGGGTGCCATGGCCTTCCCCGTGAACAGAGCTACTATTTGCTAAGACAGAAGATTTCCATAGGGCCAAGATTCTCCTAACAAAACAGTCAAAATGTCCAAGAAACAACTAAAACCCACTCATCCTAGTCAAATAAAAATAAGAAGAGCACACCTTGATTGATAAAAGACAATCGGCTGACACCAAAATCAAGATGAAGCAGGCTGAAAGTATTCGATGATGATTTTAAAGCACCCATCATAAGAATGCTTCAACAAGCAATTACAGATTCTCTTGAATTATAAAACAGAACACCCCTTCAAAGACACAGAAGCTATAAGAAAGAACCAAATGGAAATCGCAGAACTGAAAAATATCATAGCAAACAGAATATATCAACTCATACCAAATATTTCATTTACCCTGAAGGCAGTGAGTTCTGATAAAACCATTTAAATGTCTAATAACAGACCTATCAATAGTGACATGACTTTAAATTTTTTTTTTTGTTAAATCTAGTCCTGTTCCTTCAGAGTTGGTAATCTTATGCAAGTGCTTAAGGGAACCAATTAGTTACTCTGAAATGATGCCTGACCCCAAATCTAAAAGTCCTGTCAGTGAAAAACCGGATAGAACGATGCATTCAAGTTTGCATGGCGCTCTGCTACATTTCACCACTTTCAGATTTAGTTCCTTCTGGAAGCAATCTCCAACTACCTTGGGCACATTTTGATAATTCACTCACCATCACCTCTTCAGCACAAGCTATTAAGTTGTGTCCAAGGAAACAGGACTAGCTTATAAGTTCACGTCTCTATTTTTTTTGTTGTTGTTTGAAAAATTAGATCCAGTTATTTCTTTTTTTTCATTTATTTTTATTAGTTGGAGGCTAATTACTTTACAATATGGTAGTGGTTTTTGTCATATATTGACATGAATCAGCCATGGATTTACATGTATTCCCCATCCCAGTCCCCCCTCCCACCTCCCTCTCCACCCGATCCCTCTGGGTCTTCCCAGTGCACCAGGCCCGAGCACTTGTCTCATGCATCCAACCTGGGCTGGTGATCTGTTTCACCCTAGATAATATACATGTTTCGATGCTGTTCTCTTGAAACATCCCACCCTCGCCTTCTCCCACAGAGTCCACAAGTCTGTTCTATACATCTGAGTCTCTTTTTCTGTTTTGCATATAGGGTTATCGTTACCATCTTTCTAAATTCCATATATATGTGTTAGTATACTGTAATGGTCTTTATCTTTCTGGCTTACTTCGCTCTGTATAATGGGCTCCAGTTTCATCCATCTCATTAGAACTGATTCAAATGAATTCTTTTTAATGGCTGAGTAATATTCCATGGTGTATATGTACCACAGCTTCCTCATCCATTCGTCTGCTGATGGGCATCTAGGTTGCTTCCATGTCCTGGCTATTATAAACAGTGCTGCGATGAACATTGGGGTGCACGTGTCTCTTTCAGATCTGGTTTCCTCGGTGTGTATGCCCAGAAGTGGGATTGCTGGGTCATATGGCAGTTCTATTTCCAGCTTTTTAAGAAATCTCCACACTGTTTTCCATAGTGGCTGTACTAATTTGCATTCCCACCAACAGTGTAAGAGGGTTCCCTTTTCTCCACACCCTCTCCAGCATTTATTGCTTGTAGACTTTTGGATAGCAGCCATCCTGACTGGCGTGTAATGGTACCTCATTGTGGTTTTGATTTGCATTTCTCTGATAATGAGTGATGTTGAGCATCTTTTCATGTGTTTGTTAGCCATCTGTATGTCTTCTTTGGAGAAATGTCTGTTTAGTTCTTTGTCTCATTTTTTGATTGGGTCATTTATTTTTCTGGAGTTGAGTTGGAGGAGTTGCTTGTATATTTTTCACGTCTCTATTTTTACAGAACTTCTCCCCTAGCGTATCCGGGGATGCTGCTGTGCTCGGGTGGATTACTGGTATATTGATGGTGTTGTTTTGATGCCCCAGGACTCCTGTGATCTTGAGAGACTTGGAAAGCCAGAACTCTGAGGCCGATGGTTTTAGCTACCTCTAGCCTCTGCTCCTCAAAACAGCCATTCACGTATACACACATGCTTGTGAGAAGCACAGACTTGTGTTACTAACAGCATGATAAAAGTGTTGAATGAATGAATTCTTTTCTACAGGAAATGTTGTCAAAGCAAACAGTGTTCCTACTACTTTGGAAGAAGCATATCCCCAAGTAATATACTTTTCCTAAGATGCTTGAGATGCAAATGATTTCAGTGTTTTCAACAACTGGATGATTCAACTTGTATGATACATATTCTACACATTGGCTAGTATCTAAGGGATTTAACTTACTATAAATTCAGTGAGTGACATAGTTTGCACCAAACTAATGCTTGGACATCAACAAGTTTAGCTCAAATCTTCATATATATGTAACCTAAGTTATATTTTATACTATTAATACTAAGACTTTCCCTAACACAACATAATATATATTTTTAAAAAATCAACTTTAACATTAATAAATTATTATGAATACCTTAATCACATTCACTCACATAAACTAAAATTGTATTTCTTCTTCATAGTATGTCATAACCTAGTGAGAAGTTAGTTTGTGCAACAGTAACTCAAGATATATTAGCTATAGAGAATCAACTGAGAATCAATCAACTGAGAGTCAATTCAGAGAAAGAACTATGCTATCATCCTTCATTTGTTACAATGAAATATAATTTACTAAGGAAAATTAAATATAAAATGCAATTTTGCTTTAAATCTATTAACTGCAGAAAACAAACACAATCATTATAGACTCATGAAACCTGTACACTGAAAAGGACTATATAATGTTAAAAAAATAGAATTAAGACCATTCTATAAAGACTGTTTCTGGTTTTGGCTATTTCTCCAATGAGTCTGAGTACATTATGCAGAGTGCTGAGGAATGTAGGTTATGAAAGCTCCCTTGGAAAGTAAATGTTTTCTTTCAACCAAAAACATATCTCCTCAGTAAAACAATTCCATTAAAAGTCAAGTTACAGCATGCCAGCACACATTTTGAAAAAAAGTTAAATATGAAATGATGCAGTGATCATAAGATAATTTTTAAAAACGAATTCAGGGCATACTTTACCTGGCCATACTTTGCTGCCAAGTGAAGCGGGGTCCAGTACTCATCATCTGCAGCGTTGAGGTCCCCGCCATGTTCCAGGAGAAGAGACACTACTTCCTTGTAGCCACTGGCACATGCCATGTGCAACTGCGACAGAAATATACCTTGTCATTTGATGTGAAAGAGCAGTGACAGCAATGTAGTTTAATTGGTGGTTTAAAGAGATGCATTTAATAAAGTATTGGAGCTAAAATACAAAGGCATTTAAAAAAAGAAGTTATATATAATTGTATTTATTTGTACAAGTGGATATCATTATTCCTTGGAAAAACAAAGCTTATGGTTAAATGTTATTTTCTGACTCTGACAGCATGCGTTTTTTCGTGTAATCGTTTCCCTCTCCAGTGCTGCTTTCTACTACTATAATCTGAATATTTTCAAATACAAAATAAAATATTTAGGTACATTATCCCTTCTTTTTTTTAATTTACTTTCAATTGAAGGATAATTACTTTACAATGTGGTGTTGGTTTCTGCCACACATCAGCATGGATCAGCCATGGGTATATATATGTCCCCTCCTTCTTCAGGCTCCCTCCCACGTCCCACCCCAAATCTCCCCTCTAGTATGCCACGGCACTACTATGAGCTCCCTGAGAAACACAGCAAATTCCCGCTGGCTACCTGTTTTACACGTGGTGATGCATGTGACTCCATGCTGCTCTCACACTTCTTCCACCCTCTCCTTCCCACACTGTGTCCACAAGCTGTTCTCTATGTCTGCATCTGCATTCAGTTCAGTTCAGTTCAGTCGCTCAGTTGTGTCCAGCTTTTTATGACCCCATGGACTGCAGCACGCCAGGCTCCCTTGTCCATCACCAACTCCTGGAGCCTCCTCAAACTCATGTCCACTGAGTCAGTGATGCCATCCAACCATCTCATCCTCTGTCATCCCCTTCTCCTCCTACCTTCCCAGCATCAGGGTCTTTTCCAATGAGTCCATTCTTCGCATCGGGTGGCCAAAGTATTGGAGCTTCAGCATCAGTCCTTCCAATGAATGTTCAGGACTGATTTCCTTTAGGGTGGATTGGTTGGATCTCCTTGCAGTCCAAGGGACTCTCAAGAGTCTTCTCCAACACTACAGTTCAAAAGCATCAATTCTTCTGCGCTCAGCTTTCTTTATGGTCCAACTTTCACATCCATACATGACTACTAGAAAAACCATAACTTTGACTAGATGGACCTTTGTTGGTGAAGTAATGTCTCTGCTTTTTAATATGCTGTCTAGGTTGTCATAAATTTTCTACCAAGGAGCAAGTGTCTTTTAATTTTATGGCTGCAGTCACCATCTGCAGTGATTTTGGAGCCCAAAAGAATAAAGCATCTCCATTGCTGCCCTGTAAATGGGTTCATTGGNGCCTGTACATGGCTCTATGTCTGAAGTGGGTCTCTTGTGGACAGCATATATATGAGTTTTGTTTTTATATTCATTCAGCCAGTCTGTGTCTTTTGGTTGCAGTGTTTAATCCATTTACATTTAAAGCGATCATTAGTATCTATGTTCCTGTTGGATTTTCTTAATTGCTTCGGGTTTGTTTTTGTAGGTCTTTTCCTTTTGTTGTGTTTCCTGCCTACAGAAGTCCCTTTAACATTTGTTGTGAAGCTGGTTTGGAGGTGCTAAATTCTCTTAACTTTTGCTTGTCTGTAAAATTTTTATTTCTCAATCAATTCTGAATGCGACCCTTGCCAAGTAGAGTAACCTTGGTTGTAGGTTCTTCCCTTTCAGTACTTTAAATACATCCTGCCACTCCCCTCTGCCCTGCAGAGCTTCTGCTGAAAGACCAGCTGTCAATCACACGGGGCATCCCTTGTGTGGCGCTTGCTGCTTCTCTGCTGCTGCTCTTCCCGCTTCTCCTCTGTGTCTGGCCTTTGTCGGTTTGACTGTGTGCGTCTCCACTTGCCGCCGCTTTATCCTGTACGGGGCTCTGCGCTTCTTGGACTTCGCTATCTCCTTTCCCGTGTTAGGGACGTTGTCGACTATAATCCCTGCAAAAATCCCTCAGACGCTTTCTCTTTCTCTTCTTCTTCTGGGACCCCTATAATTTGAATGCTGGTATGTTTAATATTGTTCCACAGGTCTCTGAGAGTATCCTAAATTATCTTCATTCTTTTTCTTTATTCTGTTTGTTAGCAGTTATTTCCACCGTCCTATCTTCCAGCTCATTTATCTGTTTTCCGCCTCATTCACTCTATTGACTTCTTCTGAAGTTTCTTTAATTTCAGTAATTGTGTTGTTTGTCACTCTTTATTCTTTATTTCTTCTAGGTCATCATTATATGTGTTAAATAATCCTTGCATTTTTTCCTACCTATTTTTCAGATTTTGTATCATCTTTACTACCATTACACAGAATTCTTTTTCAGGTAGTTTGCATTTATTTGGTCTTGTGAGTTTTTAACGTTGTTTCTTCATTTGAGCAACATGTCTCTGTCTCCTCGCTTCTTTTCTAACTTACTGTGTTTGCGGTCTCCTCTTCCCAGGTTTTAGGGCCGTGTTTCTTCTTCCTTTTGGTTTCTGCACTTGGTGGGTGAGGGTGGCCCAGCGGTTTCTGTAGGCGTCATGTTGGGAGGGGCTTGTGCCTGCGCTCTGGTGGGAGGAGGTGAGTTTTCCCTCTGATGGGCAGGGTGTGTGGGGTGGTGTGTGGCGGGGTGCCTGTGGGAAGCCTGTCTGCTGACTCTGTGTGTTTGTCTCGAGTGGTGCTGGGGTGAGGTGTCCAGATGCTGCCAGCAGTTGCGTAACACTGGGTCTTAGATCCAGCAGGAGGCCTTCATGGGAGTTCTCACTAATTAGTACTCGCCGGGGTCAGGAGCTCACCAGTCCAGGCTAGTGTTCTGGACTCACTGCTCCCACTCCAGAGGCTCAGGTCCGATCTCTGGCCGGGGAACTGAGATTCCACAAGATGTTTGTTATGGCATTAAAAGGGATTAAAAGAAACACACAAAGACAAAAAATTAAGCAAGACACAAAAGACGAACCCCAGACAAGTGGTAAATGTAAAAATCAGACCAAAAAAAAAAAAACAACAAAGGAACACACACACACACATACACACAGACAACCACAATAGTTCAAAGAAAACAAAGTGACATGGTGAGCAAAGAAAACTAAAAATAATGTCGGCCAATTAAAAACAAAACTAACTAAAACATAAACCAGAAAACAAGACCAAATCAGAATGCCAACCGGTGAATAAAGCAAACAAAACAATCTAACAAACATGATGAAGCATAGGAAGAAAAGAAAAAAAAACAGGAAAGCAAAGTTAAACAGAAGTATATAAGAAATACTTCATGTATTAAAGAACAACTACAAGAGCAAAAGAACAGTAAGAAAAACAAACAACAACAACAAAAATTACAGGAAAAAAACCCATAGAACCACAAAAAGCCAAAGTAGATGAAGTACATAAAGAAAATAAAAAGTGTGATTTTAAAAAATTCTCAAAAGCTTAAATAGAATTAATCATAAAAATAAAACAACCACAGAAAAACAAAAAAAAAAAATCCAGAATCAAGTACAGAATGACTCAAAATACAATAATAATAAGTGTTTTTCTTAGATCTCAGCTGTCAGAGCATCCTTCCCCTCACTGGGAATCACAGCCCACCTCAGCTCCCCAGGATGCCCTCCAACTCTGCACGGGTCTCTAGACCCGCTGTGGGGGCAGCCCAGACTCTAACCTGGCCCCATTCCTGCATGTTCTTGCCTCCAAAGTCTACAGCTGCCAAAGCTAGGATGTTTTCTTTAGCAGGAACTCTCAGTCTTTTTATATATTCCACAGACACGGAGTCTGCCGAGTTGATGGTGTGGATTTAATCCACAGCTTGGCCAGATGGTGGGAAGCTCTTCCGTCCCCTTCCTTAGCCACACCACCCCTGGGGTTAAGCTGTGCTTTCACCTCCACCGCCGCCCGCGTGTCTGCACGGGAATTTGCTCCTGAGACTGCCTGGAGGACCTGGGTCTGCCCCCGTGAGGGCTGAGCGCGGAGGCGGCGAAGCTGCCTGGATCGCGGGGACTCTGGCAGCGCCAGGGACACAGGAGATACGGCCCTCTCGGAGATTTTCGCTAACCTCTGCAGCTCTGCCCCAGTGAGAAGCGAGCGTGGCGGTGGTCCCGCTGCTTAGACCGTGGGGACTCTGCAGCGCCAAGCGTGCAGGGACGTCAGGGGCCTCGGATGAGGTCTCTTAGCAGGCCTGGCCTCCGGGGCCGGTCCTTCTCTATCGCTCGGCACAGCAGGCACTCAGATGGTACCCCTGGCCCGGGCCCTTCTCCATCGCTCAGCACATCAAGCACAGAGTGCCAGCCTCTCTGTGGTCCTCTGTTGACCAGCCGCTGGCAGCAGCCACGTGGAGAAAGACGGGAGTGATGGCTTGGCCCCGGGCGTGACTCAGCAGCATCGCCTGGCCTCCATGGCTGCCCGGCCTTCCTCCGAGGGCATTCCCCACCGCACTCTCCTCCCTCAAGTCTGCTCGGGCCACCTCCCTGCAGTCAACAGCAGATCCTGCCCTGGGATTGCTCTCCAATCCCCAAGCCCCAGCTCCCGGCCGCCGCCGTGCATTCCAGAGGACGTGCGTCCCTGTCCAGGTATGTAGTGCTATGGGCAGGATTGTCTGAGGACTGTCGCGGATGAGCTGCTGCGCTCTCCAGGAGCCTCCTATTGCCCTCTGTCCCGAACTGTCGCCCCGACGAGGGATCGGACCCCTGCTTCGGTTCCGCAGCTGTCACGGGTGCAGGTCTGGTCCTGCTCAGTCTCCTCCTCCTCCCTCCTTCCTTCACCCTCCCAGGTTTTGCGAGGATCTGTACATTCCTCTCCGGTGCCGGGGGACGCCTGCCAGCTTTCAGCTGGTGCCCTGTGAGATCCTCCGCATCCGAGGGTGTGTTCCTGACGCATCCGTGAGGGGAGCCGCACTCTAGCCCACCCACCCCGCCCCCATCCTGTCTTCCTGGTTTCGTTTCTTACTGCAAACTGAACTACCACGATGAGATCGTGGTATGGAGGAAGTTTTCAAAGTTTTCTTGCAGGGGAATTCTGCGTCTAAGGCAACCAGATTTAAGTTGTCATCACACTCAGGCATCCCTCATAACTC